AAAAAAAAAAAAAAAAAAAAAAAAAAAAAAAAAAGAAAGAAAGACCTCGGCTTTGGTGAACCCAATGAAGGGTTGTTTTTGTCTCGGCCGGAGGTTCATCGGAAACCGGCTTTTTGCAGCTCAAAACCTTAATTTCGTGAAAATTTTTCCGGCAAAGGACGATGAGGTGAGTGTTGAAGAGACCGAGAGTGATCAGAGGGTAGCCATTTGAGCGCCTACTGGAGCTCTTTAGGAGGTTTGCGGGCGGCCTTGTATATTGTTTATTAGGCATTGGAAAAGGCCTCCAGCTTATTTGGTAATATTTTTATGTTACAAAATTGGAATAAAACGTGAAAAGGTTATTTAAAATATACAATAAATTTAAATTATGTTTCGTGTATGGATATTGAATAAAAAATATAACTATTAAAAAATACAGGATAAAAATAAAATAAAAAAAATATTAATTCATATTGATTATGTTTTAAATAGATAAATTTTATATAACCAGAGAAAAAACAAAAATTATGTTACCAGCTGCTAAGGTCCACTAACCATAATTTGTTATTTAACCATTTATATCTATATATTGTATTGTGAAATTATGTGAGCTATATTACAAGAAGAATATTTTTTTTTTTTTTGACAAATTATGTGAGCTATATAGTGTTGTGAAATTATGTGAGCTATATTACAAGAATAACATTTTTTGACAAATTCACAAACGATATATTATACTATTAAAAATAATATGATAATTATTAAATCATTTTGAAAAGTATGATACGTGATTATATATAGATATCCGTCATCTATAATGTGAAAAAATACGCTACTTTAAAAAAAATCACATTATGATTTTTTTTATGTTATTCCCAATCATAACTATCACATTTCCGTTTAAAAAGAAAAAAAAAATATAACAAGTCGACCATCTAATGGTTAGCGTGGCTCAAATAATAATTTAGAGAAATGCTACGATTCATTCCGGAACCATTCCATCGAGATAAATCGTTAGATGATCATGTAACCGTCGAAAATAGTTGATCTAACAGTTACAAACCACAACCATTTCCGGCAGAATGGTTCCGTAACGAATCTGTACCATCTCTCAATTATTTATATATCCCCACGAGCATTAGTTGATTTAAGAAACATATTTACTGTGTTTATATATCCCAAAATCACGTCATTTTTTCAAAACAGTTCAAATAATTCAGCAACAAGAAGGGAAAATGAAAAACCAAAAGAAAAGAAAAAGAATAACAGTCCCATGATGTAACTCTTTCTCTCACACGCATATAATATAACTATTTTGATTCATCTATTACAGATTTCTTGCATACAGAACATACTAGCACAAGATAGCATCAGACTATATTGTGAATATCAGTAAGAAAAAATATTTCATATTATAATTTAGTGGATATCAGACTAAAACGAAACACCTCTGCTTTTCGACCCTGTTCTTCACATTCATCCGAATCGAATTTCACTCAGAATTCGAATCCAGCTGGAGTTTTTCCGAGCATCATCTTCGGGCAACACTTGAACTAATAAAATCTTCGGTTCCTGAAAGCTACCACATCAACATATGCTGAAAGCTCTAACAAATGACAATATACAAACTAGACAATTTATATATCCCAAATTCCCAATCCATAAGGAAGATAGCTGACAAGTACTCACCTCATATTATCTTACAGTGAAAGAGCCTTCATATTATTTCATATCTATATTAATGATTCATTGATTTTTCATTTTTATTTTTTTAATAAAGAAGTTATATATTTGCACAATGAAATTATTCAATTGTTGTTGTATCCTTTGCATATAACTTATTATCTACATGTGTGCACATAAGCAGAACATGATAGAATTCTTTAAGTGCATATAGGAATACCTAAAGCTGTATTATAGAACCGTTTCTAGATTGTTCCATCCACAACTTGCGAGCTTCTTATGCCCCAAAAGGCCTGGGGCCTCAATTTCTTACTTGTGGCTGAAAAATACCAACCCAGTTGTGTCCCGCACGTGATGCATTCAGCAATCGACCAAGCATAACTGCAGCCATACGGAGGCATGAAAATCTCAAAATGGAGGCCAAAATTGTTCATCTAATATTATAGCACAACTGCACAACTCAAATAGCTTGTAACCATAAATTTGGAAGGATAAAGATGACAACCAAGAAAATATGTTTTTTTGTATCTAATAACCACCAGAAAAAAATTACTCAGAATTTGTAGCTCTTGGCACCAAAATTATCACCTGATAAAATATTGAATAGTATGTATAGGATTGTGCACGTCAGACCCTTCAGAGTTCATAACGCGAAAAAATATGAAAATTCGTATCCTTGAGCAAAATTATGGGACCAGCTTATCACCAATATAGAAACAGGTGGAAGTGGGGATCCATTATATTAGATAAAGAAGGAAAAAAAAGAAATGCAATTCACCTCAGGAGAAAAAGATTGAATCACAAAAGCATTCTTATGTGTCAACAGTGATCAAGTCGCCTAAAGCTAATGGAGAAGTTTATAATGCAAGAATATATTAGCATCAAATTGAGAGGAACGTTACCGAGGAAACCAGCTGAATTCTTTCACCGGAGGCCCTGAAACTGCTATTCCATCCGTTCTGGTGAGAGTCATAACCTCGTGCACGAATCCATGTGGGTTAGCATAAGCACCGAGTGGACCTTCACTAGACATTACTAACATGTCGCTTCTCTTCGCAATGAGAGTCTGAAAGAAAAAAATAAAAAAATAAAAAAAAATAAAAGGAAGTGACAAAATGTTATGAAAATCTTAAAAAAAAAGAAGCATTACAACACTATTACAAGCTCTACCAGGACCTTATACGTGGTTGTATGATCATGAGTTGGTTTGGGAGATGGTTTTATTCAGGAAAATTTTAAAAAAGAACCTTCAATGCATCACTATCTAGTACCACTGCATGCATACCACAAATACAATGTACTTGTGTCATAAACACATAACACACACACAGACAAAGAGGAGAAATTGCATGTTGACGAGTAAGTCCTACAAGTCATGTAGGAGCTTCACAATGTTCATGCTACCTGACAAGTTTTACAGCACAATTTATCAAAACTTTCAAGGAACTCAATTTCTCTGTCCTACAAGTCATGTAGGAGCTTTACAATGTTCATGCTACCTTACCTGACAAGTTTTACAGCGCAATTTATCAAAACTTTCAAGGAACTCAATTTCTCTGCGCAACCTATAAGTTGTCCCATCAATGTCCAAGAGTTCTTGCCTCGCTGATTCAGATATCGGAATTTTACTAGCCACATAAAATGAAAGGAAATCTGGTTTCATCACAAGGCTATCCATGCTTGGTGCTTTTACAACCTCTTTCCATCTATCTGCAATAGTCAAATAAAGAATACAAAAAAAAAAAAAAAA